AAAAAAAAAAAAAAAAAAAAAAAGAACCAAAGTGCTAGGCAACACTAAGGCCTTGTGTCCTGATGTCACTGAGATCCTAGCTTTACTATTAACTAGCTTTGTGTCTTTGCCTCATGTATAAAATTGGGAGATGATAATAATAAAAGCTATTTCGCAGGATTACCGTGGGGATGAAATGAAATGAAATAATGAAATGAATGGGGAACTATTGTAAAATCCACTTGGCAAGAAATGAAAGTCTACATCTTGTACAGTAGGTTATTGGAAGCATTCAAGATTAAAGTGATAGAGATTTAATATAATTAATATGTCTGTGTTCTAAAACAGAAAATCCATATGCATTTGGCTGTGGCTTACCTTTTGTGTATGCGTTATCATGTATTTTGTAAATTATAAGTTAGTTCCAAAGTCAATAGGGCTATGAGATGCGTTCTTTTTCTTTATAAAAGGGTGTAGATGTGTATGTTCTGCTCTTTGGTTTCTAGAAGTACCTAATGAAAAGTTATGGCCAAATGAACGTGATTAATTTTGATAGCCATCACGATCAAACTTTTTCTATGTATTTTATGGAATAGAAAGATCGGCTAAAAACTAATTGGTCTGCAACTAGGGTATACTCTTACTTGTTAACGGGAGGAAGAAAGACGGAATATTTTCTAAGATAATGTGAGATAATGATAAATTGTAATAGAAACAACTATTTGATAAAAAGAGGTATTCAACTGTCTTTTAAGTAACCCACATGGAATCTGAGATAAATCGTATCAACTGTTTTTTATGTATTTTATCCATGTGACTGACAAAATCCGGCAGGTTCAGAAAATGTGCCAGTCACATTTTAAAATAACCCACTTCACTAACCTGTACTACTTGAGTCATTCAGTAGGCCTTTTTCCCCCTTGGCAGCCAGCGGCATGCCTTAGGAAGAAGGGTAAAGCTGAAATGGATTGCTCGTGTTAAATCATGTGGAAACAAGCCATTTTCTAGCATTAATTAAGATTCATTATTCAACATTCTTTGACAACAGTGAGAGGTGACATAGGTCTTTGAGTCATCTATACTCTTGTCTCCCCAATCTATAATATATCTGCATGAAGAACATCCAGTCCTATCCAAGCATCCTGTTTCTTTTTTTTTTTTTTTTTTTTAATTTTTTTTCAATGTTTATTTAT